GGGGTGGTTAAAAGAGAAAAGGGACTAGAGAGATGGCCCAGCAGTTAAGAGCACTGACTGATGTTCCAGAAGACACGGGTTCAATTCCCAGGCCATCTGGCTTCTGATCACACCAGGCTAAAAAAAAAGGACCCACGTGACCCCTCTCACTTTCCTTAAAAGCTAGGCGGTGGTTGTGCGCGCCTTTAATCCCAGCATTTGGGAGGCAGAGCCAGGTGGATCTCTGAGTTCGAGGCTAGGACAGGCACCAAAACTACACAGAAAAACCCTGTCCCTGTCTCGTAAAAACATAAAAGGGGGTGGGGGTGGGAGGAAAGAGAGCACTGGCTTTTCTAGAGGACCTGGGCTTGATTCCCAGCATCCCTATGGCAGCTTCAAACCATCTGTAGCTCTAGTCCCAAGGGGATTGGCCTCTGAGGTCACTGCATGCACATGATGCAGACATATATTCAAGTGAGTATTTATACACATAAAATAAAAATAAAATTTAAAATTATTAAAAATTAGAGAAAGCTGGGGATGATGACACACACCTTTAATTCCAACACTCGAAGCAGAGGCAGGTAAATCTTTGTGAGCTCTAGGCCAACCTGACGTACATCTCAGGTTTCAGATCAGCCAGGGTTACGTGGAGATCCCGTCCCAGGGGGGAAAAATTGTTTTTCCTGCCTGGACCTGTTTGTTGGAAGTGTTTCCCACTCTGGAGCCGGCCTGCTGGCTCTGTCTCTCTAGGCTGGTGTCTGCCGTCGGCCCCAGTGCATCCGTCCTCCCGGAAGTGGCTTCACTTGTGCTCACAGCCCTTCCTTCATTTCCTGGAAGCTGGCTGGCTGCTCTTGACTCGGCACAGTGTCTTTTGTTGGTGGTGGGGTTTCTCTGTGAAACAGTCCTGACTGTCCTGGAGCTCATGATGTAGACCAAGCTGGCCTTGAACTCACAGAACTCCGCCTGCCTCTGCCTCTTGAGTTGCTGGGATTAAAGGCATGCGCCACCACCGCCCAGCGTTGGTGTTTTTTAGTTGATACTTGCTAATTGGCCATATTTATGGAGGATAATGTGATAATTTGATACATGGATTCTAACATGTAATTAAAGTAATTGACATTTCCTTCTCTTTAAAAAATTTATTCTTCGGTGGCAGCGTGTATTCCTGCTGTTCCTTTTTCTATTCCACTATTCTTATTAGTTATTAATTTTTACATATGGTCTCACTGTGTAGCACCAGCTGGCCTGCAACTGTTCACATAGGCCAGGCTAGCTTGGAACTCAACAGAGGTTTGTCTGCTTCTACCTCCTGAGCACTTGGATTAAAGATGTTTCCACAAGCAGCCCAGTTATTATTGTATACATGCGTATGCCTGTGCATGCATACCATGGTGTGTGTGTGTGTGTGTGTGTGTGTGTGTGTGTGTGTGTGTGTGTGTTTAGGTATGTCATTCAGCATATAACTTTTGTGTCATCAGGTCTCTCCTTCCGCTTTACATGGGCTCCAGTGATCAAACTAGGTCCTGCCGGGTGGTGGTGGCTCATGCCACTAATCCCAGTAACTGAGGAGGCAGAGGCAGGAGGATCTCTGAGTTCAAGGCCAGCCTGGTCTACAGAGAGTTCCAGGACAGCCAGGACTGTTTGACAGAGAAACCCTGTCTCAAGAAACCAAAGGGGGTAGTGGGTGGGAAACTGGGTTCCTTCCCTGCAGAGCCGTCACTGTGGCCCGCCGTCACTGTGGCCTGCCACCGTTCTTTGTGTCCCTACCTCCCCTGTGTGCGGAACCAAATCCAGGGCCTCACACATACCAGACAGGTGCTAAGCCACCCTCCAGCCTCACACTCCTTACCTACCTTCTTGGAGGGTCTTTCCTGGTCTAGGCAGCTGCCCTTAATCAAGCATACTGCCAATGAAGCCTTCCAGAGTGAGGTGATCAGATTAGGAAAATAGATTTTGAACTGAATTGTGGTTGCTTTACTTTGTTTTTTCTACTTAATTGGGGGGGGGGGTCGACAAAGTTCTAGAACAGCCCGAGCTGTTACATAGAGAAACCTTATCTTGAGGGAGAAAAATAGCGTGTGCAAGTGCACACCAAGGCAAGAAGATGACATTGGGTCTCTTGGAGCTGGAATTACAGTCATTTGCAAGCTGCCTGAGTGCTAGGATCCAAATTCCAGTCCTCAGGATTGAGCAAGAAGCACTCATGACCACTGAGCCACACTGCTCCAGTCCATTAACCATCCCCCCACCCCACCCCTGTGTGTGTCTGTGTGTGTGTGTCTCCATTCCTTCAATCCCAGCACTTGGGAGGCAGAGGCAGGCGGATCTCTGTGAGTTGAGGCCAGCCTTGTCTACACAATGAGCTCCAGGACATCTGGGACTACACAGAGACTCTTTCTTAGGAAAGGAAAAATAAGTAAATAATAGATAATAGATAATAAATAATAAAAGAATAAAATGAAAAGTCAAGAGGGTTGGAGAGATGGCTTAGCAAGCATGAAGAGCTGAGTGTGGCTCTCCAAAACCCACAGAAATTGCAGGTGGGTGCTGGTCTACCTGTAACCCTAGCACTCATGAACTGGAGTCAGGGACTGCCTAGGTAGCCAGACTGTCAAAAGGAGTAGATCTGGGTTCAGTAAGAGACCCTGCCTCAATTTATATGGTGGAGAGTGATCAAAGAAGACACTCCAACTCACCGCACGCACGCACGCACGCACGCACGCACGCACACACACACACACACACACACACCACCCCTGGCCAGAACTCCTTTTTAAAACTGGTAATCTGTTTGAAGAGTGCTGTTTTTCTCTTCCTGTGGATCCAGTTCAGTTCCCAACCACCTAGAACTCCAACTCCAGGGGTCCACTTCTCTCTTCTGGCCTCCAAGGGCACCTGCACATATACACAATCCGTTACATTTTTTTTTTTTAGACTGGTAATTCTTAATTCCTTGGTTCTTTCTGCCCAGCCCATCATGTATATAACCCAATGAGACACCCTGTTCTTTAGTCTTGGTGAGATTTGTGTGGTATTGCCCCAGGTATCATGTAATACGCAAAGACTGATTCTAGGTCAGGTATGGTGGTGCATTCTATAATCCTAGATAGACAGGAGGCTGAAGGAGGAGGATCACCTTTTGGAGGCCAGCTTGAGCTGTTGAGTTGTTCAGGTTCCTGCCAGATTGAAATCTTTTCAAGCTGTGTAAAATGCAGATCATACATGTGTTGATTGGAAATCTGAAAAAAAAAAACAACTTTTTTTTAAGGAAAATGGATGTAAGTAATGAAAGGGGGAACAATTAATGATAACATGGCTGTTTTCGAGCTTTGAATGATTTGCTGTGTGTGGCCATAGGTACATCTCTTTTCTATAACTTCATTTCTCTTCAAAGTGAAATACCAATTCTGGTTTCTTGAAGTTTGGCAAACGTTTTATGACTCAATGAGATGTACATAAATTTTGTCATAAACACTAAAAATTGTGTTTTGGGGTGGCCCATACTGCTCGGTGGTTGTTCCTATTCATCTGTTATTTTTAGAGAGTGTTTCAGTAAGTAGTCCACACTGGCCTTAGCCTCTAGCTTCCTGAGTGCTGAGATTACAGCCCAGCGCCACTTTGTTGTCTGGTCTAGACATTGAGATCAGGACTTAATTCCCAACTGTGTGGTCAGGGGCTAGACACCAGAATTCCATCAACTACTCTGCTCCATTCCTAGCATTCAGTAGTTATTCCCAGGTGTGATGTGGTGCTCTGTCTCTTTTCAGGTAGAATGGAAGAGTCTCACTTCAATTCTAACCCGTACTTCTGGCCTTCTATCCCCACAGTCTCAGGGCAGGTAAGTGGTATTTGTTTTATTCTCCCCAGTATTCATTTCCGCTCTGAGAAGTGAGTTCTTCGTGGTGTTTCTACTGTGTGGAGGTGGAAGCAAAGACAGACACACCTTGTTTCACTGAGTCCATTATCACTGAGAGTTCCATAGTGTCCAGAAACAGATCATCAACTCCTTGTTCCTTGATCTCAAGGAGAAGACAATGGAACGTCCTTATGGAGCAGACAAGAATCAGGCTTGCTCAGTCTGAAGAGGATACTCCTCTTCCCCTCCTTTTCTTTTAGATTGAAAACACAATGTTCATCAACAAGATGAAGGATCAGCTATTGCCAGAAAAGGGCTGTGGACTGGCGCCACCTCACTACCCCACTTTGCTGACAGTGCCTGCCTCAGTGTCCCTGTCCTCGGGCATTAGCATGGACACAGAGTCCAAGTCAGAACAGCTGACCCCACACAGTCAGGCCTCTGTTACCCAGAACATTACTGTGGTCCCTGTACCGTCCACAGGGCTGATGACTGCAGGTAAGCGCCCTTGCTTCTCTCCAATCTGAGGTGTTGATCTCTCCTGATCAGTACCCCAGTCTGGAGGGCTCTGAGGACATGGGGAGTGGGGATGTGTTTAATTCCTCAATCAGATTTTTATTAAGTGCCTACTGTGTACCTAGCAATGTGCTAGGCATTGTGGGGGATACAAAGAAGTAGAAGATGCGGTCCCTGCCTTTGAGGAGGTGACATTCTTTCCTTCTCTGAATCAAGGAGTCTCCTGTTCTCAGAGGTGGAGAAGAGAAGGGAGTCAATCAAGGGGTAAATCTCACTGTTACCGGGGGGGCTGGGGACGGGGCTAGGAAACCATTGTTCTGTACAGGGTTTGGGAGTTCCTGTGTCGCAGTGGGCTGGAGGGTGGTGGTGAGGGGTTAATTAGACAACTGTCTGGGGGAAATGAAATAGATTAGGTCAGAGGTGAACAGCATGACCCCATCTTTTTTTTCTGCCAATCCTAGGTCCTGGTTTGGTAATCACATCCCCCTCAGGCTCTCTTGTGACCACAGCCTCATCAGCTCAGACCTTCCCTATTTCGGCTCCCATGATTGTCTCAGCTCTTCCCCCTGGCTCACAAGCCCTGCAGGTGGTCCCTGACCTCTCCAAGAAGGTAGCATCAACCCTAACTGAGGAAGGAGGCGGAGGTGGTGGTGGAGGTGGCAATGTGGCTCCTCCTAAACCTCCTCGGGGCCGCAAGAAGAAGCGGATGCTGGAATCAGGGCTTCCTGAGATGAATGACCCTTACGTCCTTGCCCCCGATGACGATGACCATCAGAAAGATGGCAAGACCTACAGGTAGGACTCAAAGCCAGGGGCACGATGGGTTTGAGGGTCACTGTTTCGAGCCTCCCCTATCTTCTTTGGGTCCTGCCCCAAGTCGGGCTCTGCTCTCAGCAGCTGTCCACCTGAGCGCCACTTGCATGTCCAGGTGCCCTGTGCTTTGATAGGAAGGTGCAGCTGGTAGACCCCTCGTTCCACTGCCCCTTTGAGAACTCAGCTTGCCATGCTCCTTAAGTGATTTTTGAGTGACAGGAGAGTTTCTCTCTTTTAATAAAGTTTCAGACTGGGCTCCAGTGTCTGTAGCCCCCTTTTTTCCTTTCTGTTTCTTATTTTCAAGAAGTCTTTCTGGTAAGCACCTTAGCTAACCCTGTGCCTTCCGCCAGCTCTTGGGCTGTGTTGAGCCCTGAGCCCGTTAGCCCCTGCATGGTTGGGATGGGAGGAATAGTATTCTTATAAAATGACTTGTTTGCTCACTCCAATTCACAGAAGTCATTTTGATCCTCCACTTTCTCTCCCATTGTCCCCTCCAAAAGAGCATATGCGTATTTGCATGTGGCACTGTGTAGAGAAGTCCTTGCCCTTTGAACGTTGAAACAACTTGAATCTCATTGAGAGCTGTCAGGGTCCCTAGTGGGTTTTGGAGACTTGGTCCCAATGTGCACAATGGGTTGTTTATCACAGCTTTGACATATATAGACAGGGGCAGATGTGCATGGCTGGGAGACTGGTTCTGTCCTTAGTGTACCGAGATGGGCAATGTTGTTCCCATTTTAGGAGCGAAGGGAACTGCGGCACAGGAAATGGACAGAGCCTTGGGCTCATGGATTCAGTTCCCGGCTCCACCACGAACTTGCTGTGTGACCCTGGGCAAGTCCTTTTCCCCTCTCTGCGCCTCAGTTTCCTCATCTGTAAAATGGGGAGAATTCTTTGTATGCCTCCCATTTGTTGGGAGTATAGATAATCTTTAAAATGTTGGGAAGTTCAGAAAGATGAGAGCTAATCATTACTTAGCATTATTTACTTGAATTGTATAGTTCTATGGAGAGTATCCACAAGTACACTGTTTAAATACCTCTTTCTACGTGAAAAAGAGGGCGGTGTTGCTATGCAGAATATATTGAGCACTGCAGAATTCCAGCTGTAATTCAGAAGTTCATTGTAGCTTTATTATTACAGGTGTACCCCACTTTATACAATAAGTGTTCCTGGAAAATGTTTACATCATACCATATTATAAAGGTACCTGACAAGTTTGATTCATTTAAAGGCATTCTTTTATTATATCAGTTGAAATGAAAATCCCTTTTAACTTGATTGTGTAGATACCTGGAATTTTTTTTTTTTTTAATGTATTTGCTTAAAGTGAGGTCATTGTGACAGGAGATGCATTTATATGACATGTTGAAGTAGTGGAGGCAGCCCTTCTGGTTGACTAGGACCCTCAATTCTGCCAGTTCATTTTTCTCTCCATACTAAAATTATTCTGAATTTCCCAACTATGTATGAATATATACATGTATATGTATAAAGAATTGTGAATACACAGTTGGAAGGAAGCCTTCTAGGACCTTCTACCTTCAGTGTTTTTGAAATTCTTGAAAGCTTCCACACTTGATTAAAGGGAACCCTGAAATTGTTCTGTGACTAATTATATCCTAGTTGAAAAATATTCCTTCAGAAACTTAAAATTCTAAAGTCCAAAGGAATCTTCCAAATCACAAAGAATTCTGGCTTTCTTTCTTATTGTGCAATTGAACTTAAAAAATAATCCTGAAGCTGGGCGGTGGTGGTGCACGCCTTTAGTCCCAGCACTCGGGAGACAGAGGTGGGTGGATCTCTGTGAGTTCAAGCCCAGCCTGGCCTACAGAGTGAGTTCCAGGACAGCCAGGGCTGCACAGAGAAACTCTGTCGCAAACAAAAACAAAAACAGAGTCCTGGTTTTGGTGCCTGTGTATGTGAACTCCTTCTGTCCCAGTTGTCAGGAGCATGACTGGGTATTGGAGGAATTAGGTGCTATGGACAAGTCAGCTTAGCTCAAAGGCTTTGTTCTCATCTATGAAATAAATGGGAAGGTCAGTCAGATTGATCAATTGTATGAAAGTATTTTGAGGGGAAATGTGAACATTTAAATTGTTGTCAGCATCTTAGAAAGAAAAGGCTGGGATAATAATTCAAAGTGATTATTGAATCCCAGGCCATTGTATTGCCTACCATCCTTACTGTGTCTGGTACACATGGTGTCCATTGAAGTAATGGACTAAATGATGTTTGGTGTTAGCTTTGCCTTCCCACTGCCACAGCAACCTGAATCAGATTTCTAACCACCCAGTACCCTACAGTAAAGGACTTATTTGACTTCTTAGGGCTTCCAGAGTTTTAAAATACAGGTTAAATATTCCCTGTCCAAAAGTGGTTGAGAATTTGGCTTTTTTTCAAATTTTGGAATATTTGTACATATATAATGAGATACCTTGGGGATTGGGCCCAAATCTGATCATGGAAACTTGTTAAGCTGGATGTGGTGACTGGAACACACCAGCAATCTCAGTACTCAGGAGGCTGAGGCAGGAGGATCAGGAGTTCAGTGCCATCCTGGTCTATGTAGCCTCTCAAACCAAAAACAGAGTCAGTTGCTGTGGTGCTCTGTGAGACTGTTGGGTCTGCCAGCCTGTCTTCGTCCTGACTCAGGAAGGTGTAACTTCCCCTCTCCAGACAGTGGTTCAAACTTAGCGGTGCTCTCCTTTACACTCTGGACTTTCTCACACTTTGTCTGGTTTATCCAACTCATGTAACCTCGGGGCCGTCCTGGGGCCGAACCTTCATGCCTAACTCAAAAAGGCATGGCTTTCTTCTCCATCTCCCTCCTTCAGGCATCTGCCAGACTTTACAGCTTGCCTTCTCTGCAGTTTTTCTTTTGAACTTTAATACAACTGTATCCAAGCTTTCAATAAAAGAAAGGCATTAATTTGTTTCAAATATACCTTATATAGGTAGCCTAAAGGTAATTCTACATAGTATTTTTAGGGAGCCTGTGTTTTGACTTCCTGTACCATGAAATAACATGTTGAATTTTCCACTTGTGATGTGATGTCAGTGCTTAGAAAGTTTTGGTTTGTATTAGGGAGGCACAGCCTATGCTTCAATGGTCACCTGAGATGAGTGCCTTCACCTGGCAGTTAGTCAGTCAGTCAGTCAGCCTCTGCAGGAATAAATACTTCTAGTGCCAGGACTACGGGGTTAGCTCAGTTTGTGGCATTACAGTGAATAGCTTGCCCTTTGACAAATGGTTTTTGGAGTGTTGGGGTTCCTTTTTACAGGATTAGGAGAATACCTGCCAGGTTATTTTGAGTAGAAACAAAGGTGCTTTAAAGGGCCTACCCCAGTCCCTGTCAGTCTCGAGCAGCAGTTCTGGTCCTCATGCTGGCCATCTGACCGTTGGCATTGGCATCATACCCTGATGAATCCTTGTAGACTTGTTATTCTGTTGCCAGTGCTTTGTTTTGTTTTGAGACAGGCTGGCCTTGAACTCGATTGTTCCTCAAGTGCTGGAATCACAGGCATGTGCCATTGCAGCCAGTTTGTCAGTCTAGTTTCAGTTAGTTTTTCAGTCTTCTCTAATTAAGGCTTTGAAGATTTCTGTCTGGTTTCTTAACACAGAGTCTCTCACTGTAGCCCAAGCTGGAATACAAGCCCATCGCAGGCCTGCCTTAGACTCCCGAGTGCTAGGACTATTTTCTTTTTCATAATTGACTTACACTTCAGGGGTGATGGGGTTTGAATTAAAATGTGTGGATTAAATTTACTCTTTGAATTCCAGTGTGTTGGGGCTGAGGATACAGTTCTGTAGTGGAGCACTTCCTGGTGTGTGGCAAGGCCTGGGTTCATGCCCCAGCACTTTAAAACATTTTTTAAGCAATGAACATGTTATACCTGAACTGAGAAATTTTAGTTATCTAAGGAACTTATTTTGTAACTTTAGTTCAGTGTCCTATAAGTGGCATTATGTCCAGTTGCTAACCTTATCTTTGTAAAATACTTGCATCATCATTGGCTCACCCATCCAAACTGAGACTGTTAGCAATAATGGCATTTTATTAATAAAGAACATTTAGCTTACCTTTGGTGGTCCTGGGTGCTTGCTGGCCCTTCTAGAGGCAAAAGTGAGTATCTTCATTTTAAAGAGCAGAAGATTGAGATGTAGGTTAACAGGCAAACTGCAATTGACTGTTGGACTAGAGCCCGGGTATCTGGACTCCCATTGACTGTTTACTTTGGACCATGCTGATCTTTCCGGCAGTGTTTGGGTGTCTCAGTCGATAGCCAATGACTGATAAACTGGTAGTCAAAGTTTTCTTCAGACTTTGAAAATTGGTTATCAGTCTCTAGGATCTTAGTGAAAGCATTAATACAGAGACCACAACAGTGATACCATTTTCTCAAAGGGAATTTGTTCTATACTTGATCACAGCTATTTTCAAAAAATTCTTCTGAAAAGAATGCAAGAATCATCATCCCATACCCTTTGATGCCCAGTTTACAAAGATAAGGTGGAGAGGAGAGCAGCTTACCCCAGTGTCCTGGCTTCCAGACCACTTCCCTTTCTGCTAACTCACAGTGTACCCTGGCAAGCTGTTTCTAACTCATGTGTAAAAAGCTTGTACTCAATAAAGTCTAAGAGGATATGGCTTAACTTTCAGAGAGACCTCCTTATTTGATATTGTTGTGTAGTGTCAGAACAGGAAGGATCCACTGATTCAGGTGACCAGGAAAAGTATATTCAGGTGCTGTTCATTTAACCCAGGAGTGCCAGCATTGGCTTCATGTGCTAAGAAAAAGGAAAGGTTTAGCATAGAGTATCATTACTTTTCAATTCTTTTTTCTTGTTAAGATTTAAGGATTATAATCTACTACTAACCGTTACCTTGGCTTGTTTCAAAAGTGGGTCTGATTTGATTGGCTTGAGACTGGGAGCAAGGGCAGGTGATTAATGGAACATCAGCTATAGGGTAGAGATCAGATATGGGTTGGGAAAGCCCCTCTAAACAATTCTGGTACTTTCCATCTCCATCTCTTCAGCCGTCACTACAAAAAGGAAGTAGGGAAAGTCACTGAGAAGATAACTGTCTGGAGATGGAAGATCTTAATCTAATCAGTTTTTCTTCATTATTGCATGGGGGGGGGCTTGAAAAATAAGAGACAGATAAACATGGAGAAGCTAGGAATGGGAGTTACCTCGAGAAGTTTGAAACTTTAACTAGGCTAGCCCAATAAACATCTCTATCAGTGGTTCTCAACCTGTGGGTCATGTCCCCTTTTGGGGGTGTCAAACAACCCTTTCACAGGGGTTGCCTAAAGCCATTGGGAAACATATTTACAATTCATAGCAGTAGCAAAATTACAGTTATGAAGAGCAATGAGATAATTGTGTGGTTGGAGGACACCACATCAGGAGGAACTGCATTAAAGGGTCACAGTATTAGGAAGGTTGAGAACCACTGCTCTGTATTCACCCAGATCATAATATTTACCTGGCTTACCAGGGTTGAATGCTTATTTTTGTACACTTAGGGTATCTAGTCATTTATTAAGCATTTATTGGGTATTTTTGAGTGCTTGACACTGTGTTAGGTTAGGCAATAAAGAGAAATAAGAAGCTGGCCATGATGAAACATAGCTATAATCCCAGCATTTGGGAGGTAAGAAATAAGAGGGTCATGAGTTCAAGGCCAGCCTGAGCTACATAATGAGTTCAAGGCCAGCTTGAGCTGCATGAGACCCTCTCTTTGAACAGAAAAAGCTACAAGCCTCACCATGTAGTTGGCACAGGAGATGGGGTCAGTTAGACGGGCTTCTCTCGGCAGGCGTGAGGCCCAGCAGCAGCTCCTGGTTGAAGGCTCTAATATCATCGCCCTTGCTTGGCCAGGTGCCGGATGTGCTCACTGACCTTCTACTCAAAGTCGGAGATGCAGATCCACTCCAAGTCCCACACCGAGACCAAGCCCCACAAGTGCCCGCACTGCTCCAAGACCTTCGCCAACAGCTCCTACCTGGCCCAGCACATCCGAATCCACTCGGGGGCCAAGCCCTACAGTTGTAACTTTTGTGAGAAATCCTTCCGCCAGCTCTCCCACCTGCAGCAGCACACCCGGTAAGGCTGCTCTCACCCCTGCCTGGCCGTAACCCCCCAGGCCGTGTGGCCTGTGCCAGCTCTTCTCTCCTTTGCCTTTTGAAATCTTATTCTTTTGTTACTGTCTGAAAAGTAAACCGTGTATCCTAGCAGTGTGGGGGGCCTTGAAAATTGTGATTTCCGGTCCCCAACTCTGGAACAATTTTTGTGGTTTCTCTCTGTGTCTGTTTGGAAATCTTCTACAGAGCAGACCCTGCTTTTACTATATGCTTCAGTTCAGAGCCATGGTGTGCATTCAACTTCAGGTCCATGGGGAACAGGCGGTATTGGCCTATGTTCAAATTGCTATTTGGAAACAGGGTAACTGTGGTGAGTGTGCAACCTTAGGAAGGGTTGACAAGACTGAATACTGTAAGGTCACCAAGAGCCGTGGGTTGCAGCTCTTCATCATCTCACTGCCATTCTAGCCACCGACTTGCAGTCAGCAACAACCTAGACGTGGGTGTCCTCTTCATTAGCCTCTCCAGCCGGAGCTTGATTGGGAGGAGGGAGGAGGGGGTGCTCTCATCCGTCAAGCAACATCATTTCACCCAGCAGAGAGCTGAGCCCGTGGTGTCGAACTGCTTCCTCCTCCCCCCTTCCCTCCTCTCCTCTCCGGCAGGATTCACTCCAAGATGCACACGGAGACCATCAAGCCCCACAAGTGCCCGCACTGCTCCAAGACCTTCGCCAACACCTCCTACCTGGCCCAGCACCTCCGAATCCACTCGGGGGCCAAGCCCTACAACTGTTCCTACTGCCAGAAGGCCTTCCGCCAGCTCTCCCACCTCCAGCAGCACACACGGTAAGGGAGAGGGGCGGGCTACTGATCCCGCCCCGCTGGCATGCCCTCCCCAACCCCCGCCCCGGACACACACAACCACCCGCATGCGGGGGGCGGGGGAGAGACCTGGCTGGAGGTGAGACCTGGCTGGAGGAGAATATGACTGGCAACAGAGAGAAAAGAACTGGATGCCAAGAGAACCTTTCTGGAGCACAAACCATTTCAAAAAGACACAGTGATTGCTTGGTATTTCTTGATTGATTAAAGAGAGACAAACTTGGAACAAAGACGACCATCTCCTTCACTTTCCTCCCTGAAAATACCAAGCACACATCTTACCAGATTTCTTCTTTGGTGCTAAGCAGAGACATTCGATTTCAGAAGACCTTCTGGCCCTCAAGACACTAATTACGAGTGGGAGACATAATCAGATATAAGCTGGCACCAGCCTGGATATCATACTCACAGCAACAAGCAAGAGTCCAAGGAATGTAGTCCAAGAGTAGAGCACAAACGGAAACAGAACTGCAAGCAAACTGAAGGAGCGCCTGCGTCATCAAGAGGATGCTCACCTCTGATCCATCACTGTGGCCTTACTAGGGGAAGGGAGTCTGACACTAGAAGAGCTGACGGTTTCCTTTGGTGATATCTCAAGATGAAGTGGAGTCCAGACTCTGGGCAATTGGCCATCTCACCCTGCTTCTTATGGATGTGATGTTCTTACCTAAAAGTGATCAGACACTGTCTTGAATTTGCTGTCGTCATGTATTTGAGGCTTTATCACAGATGGTTCTGAAGTCCCTGAAAAGGAGCAGGTGTTGGTGCATCCTCCTGTCTTGAGCTTATCATAGTAGATAGAGGGCCCTGTGGTGTAGGGAAGGTTAGATTGGTTCTAACCTCAGGATTTCCTGTCGTTAAGGGCTTAGCCTGGGGGAAAAATCCCTAGGAATTTCCATGAGTTTCCACTAATGTCACCACTACTTTTAACAATCATTGTAACTTGTCCTTTGATTTCAGAACTATCTCTGGCTATGATGCTCAAGGTTGAAGGAACAGTTTCTGCCTATAGGGTGGGGACCAAGGAGAAAGTGTTATGTATTTTTCTTTTTTCCTTACAATTGTAGTTACCTTTTGTTTCTGAACATTCACTGCGGGGTGGTTACTATAGGAGCAGATTTATACACCAAATCATGATCTGCCTGTGTCCTGGATGTCGAGGCCGAAGTCCCTTTTCTCCCAGCACAGTGAGGCTCTCCTTGAGCTCAGTGCTACAGGCAGTGACCAGAAATGAGGCACTTGAAACCACTCCAGGTCAGAGAGGAGCTCAAGCTAGTGCCTCCTGCAGGTGCATCTGAGCAGCGTCCTCAGGAGACAACCTGAAGAACCTGAGTCTGGTACGGAGCTAGTCTAGAGTGACCTTGCTGATGGCCATACTCTTTTTTTTCATCCTGTGCAGAATCCACACCGGTGACAGACCATACAAATGTGCACACCCGGGCTGTGAGAAGGCCTTCACACAACTCTCCAACCTGCAGGTGAGTGTCTGGTTTCCACAGAAGACCTTGAGTTTGAGACTTGGGAGAGACATTTGGCTAGTACAGATTCTCAGAGGTTTTCAGAAGAACTAAATTCTCTTTAAAATTACTGAGGTGAAGCTGGACCTGCTAGCCTTTAATCCCAGCTACTTGGAAGGCTGAGGCAGAGGATCCATACTTCAAGGCCTGGCTGTGATACAAAATGAGCTCAGGTCAGCCTGGGCAACTTAATGATAACAGTTTCTCAACATTTAAGAAAATAAAAGAGTTGAGGAGTTAGCTCCCCAACAGACAGCAAAGTGCTTGCCACAAACATGAAGGTGTGATTGATCCCTAGATCCCACTTTAAAAAAAAAAAAACAATAGTAGTTTTGGTATGAGCTTGTTACCCCAGCACTGGGAAAGTGGACAAAGGCAGGTCTTTGGAGCGCTCTGGCCAGCCATCTTGACCACATTGGCTAGCTCCAGGCCAATCAGAGGTTATGTCTGAGAAAACAAGGTGGGGGCTCCTGAGTAGTGACACCAAAGTTGTCACCAGCCACCACATGCGTGTGCAACTGGACACACACCCAAAATATTGTTTTTAAAAGACTAAGGGCTAATGAGATGGCTCAGTGGTTAAACATACTTATCATGCAAGCCTGACTACCTGAGTTGGACCCCTAGAGCCAACAGTGGAGGAAGAGAACTGACTCATAAAAGGCATCCATTATATTCTACCCATGTGCCGTGGCAGGCACACCCACAATAATAAAATTTAAAGGAAAAAAAAAGATTGGTTCTGTAGCTCACTAATGGTGCTTGCCTATATGTGCCAGGCTATAGTAGGTTCATGGTACAATACCACATTGTAACAAAACAGTACCCTTGGGTGGCTAGGAATGGTGGCATGTGCTGGACTACATAGTCAGAAGAGACAGAAAATCAGCGTCTGGAGAAATGACTGAGCTTAGAGTTTAGAGTACCCATGTCAGGTAGCTTACCGCCACCTACCTAGAACTCCAACTCCAGGGAACCCAGTGCTCTTCTGACCTCCCCAGGCACATGTACAAATATGTATATAAAAATAAATGTTCAAAAACAGCCGACAACCTGGGCTACATGAAACTCTCTCAGAAAACAAAGCAAAAAAGTAATCACAATATATAAAACAATTGCATGTTAGCATTAATAGAAATAAATATTCCCAAATCCCACTAAAGGAATTTAATGGGAGAATGATATTCTTTCACATTTTGTAAGGTCCCCCGCCCCCCACAGCCCACTCTAGGCAAGCACTCTACCACTGAGCAACACACCCGGTCTTTGTGATTTTTTTTTTTTTAAACTTAAATGGTGTGTTGTGTAACTCAGACTGCCTTGCACCTGTCATCCTAACTCTTCAGTCTTTTAAGTAGATGTGTGCTGCAACGACCGGGGTTTTGCACGTTTCTTCAGTCTTTGGCGTAGCTAAAAGTGAAGACACTCTGGTCTGACACAGTCAGTCTGTAACATGAGAGAACAAGAGTGCAGAGGCAGACACTTGTATTTTGTGTGTGTGGCTGTGTTGTGACTGTTTACGCATGAGTAGAGGTAACACTTGGATGTCTGCCTCTATAGCGCTCTGCCTCATTTTTCAGACTTTGGTACTGCAGCTAGAGTTCACCATACTTGACTAGACCAGTAAACCTGGGGCATCCTCCTGTTTCCGCCCTGCCCAGCACTGAGATTCTTGGTGCATGCCATCACACCCTGCTCTTAGGTGGATGCTGAGGGTGTGAAGTGGGGCTCTTAACACACAGCAAGCACTCTACCCACTGGCTCTCCTCAGTCCTTGTCTCGGTATTTTGAAGAGTTTTGATTATGTGAGCCCCTGGAAGAGGGAGACCAGGTAGGTGTAGGTCGTCGTAACTTTCCAGACCCTGGATTCATGCCGTATGGTAGACATCGCCCCTTAGCCACTAGTCGTGACGTTTCATCCAGAGCCTTCTGTACTGCCTTCTTGTAGAAAGGGAAGCTAGGATGGCCTCTGCTTACCCCAGGCTCTCCTGCCATAAAGGCCAAGGGAGGAACGGTACTCATTTTGGTTTCTCTCATTTGTTTAGTCTCACAGACGGCAGCACAACAAAGATAAACCCTTCAAGTGCCACAATTGTCACCGAGCGTATACAGACGCAGCCTCACTGGAGGCTCACTTGTCTACACATACGGTGAAGCACGCCAAGGTGTACACCTGCACAATCTGTAGTCGGGCGTACACATCGGTAAGTGCCTGCTGCTTTCCTTCCCGATGCAAGTCTGCTGGTGAACGGCTTGTCGGGTACTTGCCCCTGCTCTCTCTCGCTGAGTAGATAGTCAGTAATCAGAGATAATGAACGCCATAAGCAGTGGTTCTTCATTAGACATACAAGACGAGCTTTTGTGATGGAGAAAGGTTTCGGGTATTTTCTGTGATATTCTA